TATCTATCTATCTATCTATCTATCTATCTATCTATCTATCTATCTATCTATCCTAACATCTGCAGTTCAGTAATATTTCAGCTGACTTTAGGATCAAACACCAGAAGCTTTGCTGTTTGTTTTGATCTTGGTTTTCTTTGCTTTTCCTTTACAAATTATTTATCAAAGCTCAAAAGTAATTCCTGCATTACTGCTGGGCTTTAGAGAATAAAGCTGATGTTTGATAACTTTCAAGTAGTAGCTGCATTATTACCCTTCAACATTTCTTCAGAAATGTTATGGTTTAAATAACTTCTCAGTTTCATCAGTCTTGTATAAATCTATGACAAATATAAACCTAAACAAAGTGAGCCTTTCTTGCTGGAAGTAAACCTGGCATGGATCTTTTACCGAGGTCTTTGGGATATCTGCCGAGCACAGAGGGATGCTTCGACCATTTGATCTGATGCTGCAGCCAGCGGTGAGTCAACAGTGGGCAGCACATCCTGTTCAATAAACTCTCTCATTAAACCAAAATACCACTTCCAAAGAAAGTACCTCTGTTCTACAGCTTCTTGTTAAAGAGGTATACCAGAAAGCAAAGTTCAACAATTGTATGAAATACATAACTTTGCAGAGCATGAAGTATTTACCTGCAGCTCTAGAGGAGATATACATGCTGTGTATTTCCGAGGATTTGCTGAGGCTGTGGATGCAGCACTGACAGAGAACTGAAGCTTCTCTCCAATCACACTGCAGCACGCAGTCTGTTTACAAAAACAAAGTGAAAGCAATTAGATCAGGAGAAGAAAATTTAAGAACATGTTCCTTTTTGCAAGTAAATAAATTCTGGTTCAATTTTGATACCAATGTAAATAGAAAACACCTTAATTATGTGTTAGGCTGAGTATTTTGTCCTGCAATGCTTTCATAAATAACTGTAAAACTTTATAGAAGATTGAACAACTATCATTGAGTCTGTAGACTACATCAATAGTTTTCTTTCTGTTACCAAATCATACAGTTAGTTTTATCCAAATTTAATGATAACTTATTTAGTTGAAACCAAGTTTGTATTTTCATAAATTCTGTCTGTATCACCTCCATCTGTTCAATGTTTTCACCAGAATAAAAAAGTGTTACATTTTACATTTTAAAGGCTTTGGCACATTGACCAAATTATTCACACACAAAATAAACAATTTTGGTCCAGGTACAGAACCCTGAGGAACTCCACAACTAATAGTACATAATTCAGACTTTACATTATTTACCTGTATAAACTGTTTCCTATTACTCAAAAAACTAGACACTCACTGTAGTGATAATCCTGTAATACCATTTTTATTCAAAATTTCAGTAAGGGTGTAATTGTCAATAGTGTCAAAAGCCTTCTTCAGTAGTCATTTAATACAATTGAAACGAGGTTTTACTACAAAATAAATGGTACATGGATTGAACTTATATAGCACTTTWTCAAGTCCCTCCAGACCTCAAAGCACTTTACACTTATATTCACACACTGATGGTGGTAAGCTACATTGTAGCCACAGCTGCCCTGGGGCACACTGACAGAGGTGGGGCTGCCATGCACTGGGGCCATCGGACCCTCTGACCACCATCAGTAGGCAAGGCAGGTGAAGTGTCTTGCCCAAGGACACAACAGACGGCTGGAACGGGGAATCGAACCAGCGACCTTCCGGATACAGGACGACTCCCCTAACAACTCCGCCACAGCCAGAAAAGGGGGTAAAAGGGTGAAAAGGGGTAGCCTAACAATAATAAATAGCTGCAGAAAGAACCCCAAACCAAAAGAAATTTTAAGTACATTTTGGGTCACTTATGTTTGAAAACAAAGTTGATTTATTTTTAGCCTGTAATATCCCAACTGTCACACTGTAATCTATGCAGGCTGACTCAAACTTGTTTACATCTTTCAGGATCTCATAATTAACAGTTTCCCCCGTTGGTGCACAATTCAGCCTAAATAACAAACATCAGCAGTTGTGCATAGTTGTTTATGTGAACTCATGATAAAAAAAAACATTGTGTTATTAGTACAAAAAAAAAAGCATTGTTGTACTTTGTGTGGATTCTAAAACAACTAAAACATTAGTTTACATAGAGTTTGTACCTAATCATTTCTAATAAAATGAGGCTTTAAAGAAATAATGATTTATGTGATTAAACTGTCCTACTCAGTGATTTCATCATGGCGTTGATGCAGGGTGTCAGCATCATGGTAACAGTTTTGTTTTAGATTATCAGGCTTAAAACATAATTAAATGTTTTCAAGTGGGGTTTAGAGTAAACATTATGATGAATTCCATCTCAATCTTCTGCTGCTTATCTGTAGTCTGGTCACAAAGGCAACAGGTCCAGGAGAGAAACACAGACATCCCTCTCCCCAGCAACACTTTCCAGCTTGTCTTGGGGGACCCCAAGACCAGAGAGGATCCATAATCCCTCCAACAGGGCCTCCTCCCAGTGGGACGTGCCTGGAACACCTCTAAAGGGAGGCGTCCAGGAGGCATCCTGATCAGATGAACAACTTCAACTGACTCCTATCAATGTTGAGGAGCAGCGACTCTACTCAGAGCTCCCCCCAGATGACGGAGCTCCTCATCCTATCACGAAGGCTGAGCCTGGCCCCCCTACAAAAGAAGATCATTTCAGTTGCTTGTGTCCAGGATCTCTTTCTTTCAGTCATGAGCCACAACTCATGACCATAGGTGAGGGTTGCAATATAGACAGACCAGTAAATCCAGAGCTTTGCCTTTTGACTCAGCTCTTTTTTCACCACGACTGACCAAAGCGACACCRTCATTACTGATGAGACCTTAATCTGTTGATCCATCTACCGCTCCATCCTACCATCACTCAAGAACAAGACACCTAAATTCTTAAAATCCGAGCCTCAACTTTCATCCCAGCCCCTTCACACTAGGCTGCGAACCGCCCCAGTGTACGCTGAAGCTCTTGGTCCGAAGACGCCAACAGAACCACTTCATCTGTATACAGCAGAGATGAGACCCTGTGGTTCCCAAACCAGACACGCTCCTCGCCACGACTGCCCTTTGAGATCCTGTCCATAAACCCAACAAAGAGGATCAGAGACAGGGGACAGCCCTGGAGTATGATGAACTGATATCTTAAAAGTATAAATGATTTCAGCTTAACATCAGACAGGATCATTTGAATACACTGGAAGTGCTAGGTTTCACTACTATTTGATATTATAGCATAAAAGTCAGATTTCTATGTCAGAATTAAAGTTTATTTCTCCAAACTGAGGTCATTCAAAAAAGTTGTATACTTTAGGGAAGATGTTTATTTATAACCCTCCCCACCACATAATGGTTGAAATATATTACATCATTCAACCACAACATTATGACCTCCTGTTTAGTTATGTTTAGCTCATCCTTGTGCCACTCAAACAAGTCTGATGACAACATCTGAATGTGCCCTGGATGTCAGGGTCATGTGTGGGTTGACTGCTCTACAGGAAGTTCTGGGGAAGTGTCAAGTTTACAGGAATCATCTAGAATGCAGGTAGAAGTGAGTGCATTCCTGTCTGCTTCTTGCTCCTCCTTCGAGCCAAGCTTCACAACTATATAAGCTTCTTAAC